TCCCACGGGGAAAAAGTAATTTATGAAAAGTGACATTTTATAACCCGCCAACAGAGATGAAATGCCTAACTTTTTTCCCGTCACAGAAAGATTGTATAACATTGTTTCGCAGATTCCTGCACAGCCGCTACCTGTACAAGCACATCCACAAGCAGCACCACGAGTGGACCGCCCCCATCGCCGTTACCGCCATCTACTGCCACCCCGTCGAGCACGTGTTCTCCAACCTGCTGCCGCCCTTCCTCGGCGTGCTCGTCATGGGCTCGCACGTCGCCACCGCCTGGCTGTGGTTCACGCTCGCCATCTTGTCGACCTTGAACGCCCACTCGGGGTACCACCTGCCCTTTTTTCCCTCGCCCGAGGCCCACGACTTTCACCACCTCAAGTGAGTACGCTGTTTCTCTATTGAACTATGTAATAACATGTTGTATATACACACGTACACTGGCACAATTAGGGGAACGGGTAAAATTTACACTAACTTTGACATCAATTTCGCTGTTTCTCTATTGAACTATGTAATAACATGTTGTATATACACACGTACACTGGCACAATTAGGGGAACGGGTAAAATTTACACTAACTTTGACATCAATTTCGCTGTTTCTCTATTGAACTATGTAATAACATGTTGTATATACACACGTACACTGGCACAATTAGGGGAACGGGTAAAATTTACACTAACTTTGACATCAATTTTCTTTCGAACCGAACGCTCGATTCAAATTTGTTTCTTCACGAAATGTAGCTTCATTCTTCACGAATACATCTGAGAAATAATTACCTTCAAACGATGAGTCTTTCCATCATATACAGGGGTGTAAAGAAAGTACGGATTTTTAGGTATTTTTTTAGACATCCTGTGGAGTGAACCACTGATAATTGAAACGATTTCTCAACACCAAATTGGAGCCCAATCTATTCCGAATATTTTCGTTTTTTATTCATCTTGATATCTCAATTATTCAAGAAAATACAGAGTTTCAAAGGAAAGGTGGATATTGGTATCAATTTTACACCTCAAAACTCAAATTGGATCTGAAAATGTGCCGTTTCTTGACTAACCTAACCGTCCTAACCTAACCATGACTAAACCTCTGCCATCTATTGAATTGGTGCAGATGCGGCTCTCATATGTTAAAAGAACATTGGCCCACTGTCATTTTCAATTAATGCTACAGCCCTCGCCCCTCGCCACATCAGTAGGAGTCAAACCTCTCATGTTGAATTTTCATTAATCAAATTCATGAATTGTGAATCGCTTGACTTTGACAATAATTAATGACATTAACAAAATAGCCAACGTTGATTAACAAAAATAGCATTTCAACAAAAGAACATTGGAGCAACTTTTATCACCCCTGCATATTCATGACAGACTTGTGTAGTATTCGAATACCCAGTATTCTGAATCCTATTCAGAATACATTTGGCTGGTATTCGAATACTATTCAAATACATTTGTGTATTTGGTATTCGGTATTCGACTGAATACTTTTTTGGTCAGTACTCGGTATTCTGGATTCTGAATACCGTTTTTGAATCCCAGTATTCAAATACCCACTTTGTATTCAAATCCCGGTATTCGAATCCTGTTTTTGAATACTTATTATTTCTATGAATATTGCGTTACGCTTAAACGGAGCCGTCGCTATATATTATTGGTCGATCATATATTGCCATGGCTCCGGCTCGCAACTTGAGCGTGTTCAAACATATATTTTATTAGTTCCTATGTTTTATTTGAAATGGAATGAATTTTATTTCAAGTTTTATTTATTATTTGAGATTATTTTACATTATTATCTTGCTAAACAATTATTTTTTGTTACCTTACTGTTATCCAATGTACCAAAGTACTTTATTTTAAGTTTCATTCATTAATTGAATATCGTTTCATTTAGAATAATTTTTCAAATTAAACTAAGAAATAAAAATTAATAAATGTTTTTTATTCAACCTCATTGTGGCACTTTGTATCGAAAAATTATTCATCAATAAGTTTTATTCAATATAGATTTTCTATTTTTTTATCTATTTTTATAAATTAACTACATACATGAATATAAACGAGCTTTATGTGCGCAAATGGTTTTTTTCAGTTGGAATATTCATTAAATATTCATATGTGAATGAATCCAGGTATTCGAATACATCAGTATTCGAATACTTTTTTTTCTTTGTATTCGAATCTTGAGTATTCGAATACAATTTAGAGTACAGTATTCAGGATTCGTATTCGAATACCGGATTTCAGTATTCGACCCAAGTCTGATTCATGAGAGTATTCGTATATGTGTCTTTAAACAGTAAACCGATTGGTAAAATGGTGAACAATTCTCATCTTGAAGTAAAAATCCTCACAGAAACAAGTTGAAAAACGACACGTTCTCCCCAGTTCGAGTTTCGAGGTGGTAAAATTAATACCAATATCCACCTCTTCTTTGAAACTCTATATTTTCTTGGATAATTGGGATATGGAGATGAATAAAAAACGAAAATATTCGGTATAAATTGGGCTATAATTTGGTGTTGGAAAATCGTTTCAATTATCAGTGGTTCACTCCACAGGATGTCTTAAAGAATACCGAAAAATCCGTACTTTCTTTACACCCCTGTATATGATGGAAAGACTCATCGTTTGAAGGTAATTATTTATCAGATGTATTCGTGAAGAATGAAGCTACATTTCGTGAAGAAACAAATTTGAATCGAGCGTTCGGTTCGAAAGAAAATTGATGTCAAACTTAGTGTAAATTTTACCCGTTCCCCTAATTGTGCCAGTGTGTATATATATATTGTGAGTAGGGAGTCCGGCGCTCCAGACCAACTCCACCCCTCCACCCAACCACGTGACTCGGTTAGCCAATCACAGGCCGGCACGGAAATGTCACGGAAGTGTCACGGAACATGGAAATGTCATGGTAATGCCACGGAAGTGTCAGGGAAGCGTCACGGTACATTTCCGTGTTCCGTGACACTTCCATAACACACACTCACCCTTAGATCATACATCCTGTATGATCTAAGCACTCACCTATGAGACATTTAATTGGAACAGATACAGGGTGATCAGAATTCTGAATCTTGAAGCACCCTGTATTTATTCCAACGGATAGAGAATGTTCAATGGGCGTGTACACCGTAGTAGAACTTTTAACTCAAACCATGTTGAAAATGATCCTTTCATACATAAATAATGATTGACGACATAATTCGATCGAAAAATTTACTGGAATGTTCAATTTTTGTACATAAATAATAGTACCTTCTGAAAACGGACCCTCTCTTATGACGTAGAAACCTCATCTCGCCATAGTTAAAAGAAAATACCAAACGCCCGACGGAGACTGAGGCAACTGATATATTAATTCTTTCAACTGTGATTTCGCGCTAATTCACTCTTTATGAAATCATGTAACATTCATCTCTGTCTGGAATAGCCTTGTTTCAGTATTAGGGTTTTGACGTCACATCATCGCCTCGTTTTCAGAGGTTCGAAAAATCGGGGATTTCAATAATTTTTTATAAAACGTAGAGAGCTCACAGCGATAAACGGTTTGCAGTGGTGAGCTAGTTCGGGTGAGTTTTATCGAATTATGGAATAATTTTTTTTTGTGATATAAGCCCATTATCAAAGCATCCCAGTTCTGTCTTCTCATTCTCCAGATACTTCTAATAGGCCATCCACCGTGAATTACCAGGTATATTATATTATAAAACCTATAATACTCATATTTTTAGGTTCAACAACTGCTTTGGAGTATTGGGTGTTCTTGATAGACTCCATGGTACAGACACAAGTTTCAGACAGACCAGGGCTTACATGCGTCACATCATGATGCTGAGTTTCATCCCTCCAAGAGAGGAGTTCCCAGAACCCAATACATGCAAGCACAAACTGGGAAAGCACTAATGTTAATCGAAATTGTATGTTATTGAATTTCAACCTATATCATGTATTATACTTACTTCATGATTACTAAGGAACAGAAAATCAGGACAAAATTTGAAAGAGAAAGATATATTTTCAAGACACACTCAAATTATGTAGGAATTTGTTCAGGTGGTGACCATATAACTTTGATAACTTTCAAATCGACCAAGCTATGAGAAAATATGCACATGATCACTCTGAAGTGAACATTTCATGTGAATTTTTCACCTGATTTATGATTCTACAAAAACTCTGAAAGTTTATTGTTCATTCATTAGTGGTCACCACTCATTCATTCATGAAAACAGAATTTTCTGGCAATGCCTTTTTTGTGATCCAATTGGTATAAGACTGTGATAAAGTGATAGTTTTGTTTTAAGGAGATATTTTCGGGAAGTAGCTACATATTGTCAAAATTGGGTCACAAGAAATTAAAGTACCTACTATGACTAATATACTCATTATTCATCATGGGAATTAAATTATAATATAATATTTCACATATTCCTATGGAATATATTTTACTTTCAAGACTTTTCTGAACCACTAAAACTCTTAAATATCACAGGGTGTTCAAGCAATGTATGAAATTTATTAAAATTCTAGGATTCTTCCTCAGATTTTTCTGATGTAATGTATTTTATGTTGATGTATTCTTATAATATTATTTTATTATTCTTTTTTTATCTCATAAATAAAATATGTTCAATAAACAGGAATATAAAAATAATATAAAAAAAATTACCTTTTTTTCACAAAATTTACTCACTATATTGTGGTGAGTATTGTAGTGTTTAATATGTAACTATGTGCATTATTGTAACCTTGGTTGATCATTACATGGGCTAGTCCATTTTTTATAAGCCAAAGCAACTCTCATTAGTCTCTCAAATAGTAAAAACCATTGGGAACACATGAAATCCTATCACCCTGTATACTGTCTAACCCCAATTTATTACACCCTTGAAGATAGCAATATAGTTATAATGTGAGATTGGTCTTCACTGTTATCCTGACCTTGTAAATAAAATGAATATCCTGATTGTGAATAACAAGAGTCTTTGATGAATGTAATATTTTAATATTACAATATCCAGCATATAAAAATATAATATAACAAATTATTATTGATATCACATGATTATTGCATCCAAAATAAGGCACCTTGTACTTGAATATACAAAAAGAAAATCAACTGTTATACATGCCTTCTATCAAATAATCCATCCTTCTATAATTTCTATGCTGCCACCAGTCTTTACCACGTTTATAAAGAACAGAAATGATGATGGTTACAAGTGGTACAGATAAAATAACTGCTACAATTGGTATTATATAGTTTGCTCTCTTAGATTTCTTATTAAGAGAGTCATCAATATTAGAAATATCAGCTTTAAGCATTTCTGGCTTTTCTCCAGTTGAGGCAGGCATGTCATCATGTACAGTTTTTATTGGCTTATGAGGTTTCACTTTAGTAGGCTTTGTACTTGGTTTATTAGTAGTGCTATGAATTTTCACTTGAGTTACATTTTTTGTAACAGTGATATTAGCAGTAACTTGTGAAGATGTTCTGTTTTTATGTAGTAATAGGACACCTGGCTCACTCACAGAATTGCTTCCTTCAATGGTAGTGATAATATGCTCTATTTTTTGGGGCTCTTCAGGCTTATTAGTTGTTGATTTAGCAACTTTGGAATCACTGAGGTATTGTACATGTTCACGTCCCTTGTGTTGTGGCAATTTTTCTTCAGGTAAATTTGCATCATGAGTAGGAATAGACATAGATTGGGATAAATGTAGGCTTGTCTGAGGACTTGTCCCATTAAAATGATTTGTTACATTTTTTGAATCAGCCAGACATATAACAATAATCATTAGAAATAATAGCCTGTAATTATTGAATCTGGACATTTTTACCATTTCATAGTTTCGTTAATGTGAATTATTAATTTTACACCTTCGATTCTTTTGAAGTTCCAGTACTAGGGTTCCAGAAATCCAGATGTTTTCTGTTTTGTTTACCTGCCTCACCTCATGCTCTCAAAACCAATGAGGAGAACTAAGACAACTATTCTTTCAATTCTTTGTTACACCCATATGGCATATGGGTCAGGAAAATTCAATATCCAAAAGTAATCCAAAATGTCCAATCTCAATCAATCACTTCTTCTTCTTATTTGTTTTTCTTGGTTTTCTGACTCCTTGCGGTGCCAATTTCTCCAGATCCGGTAAGGGCGGTAAGTACATCAATCACTTGAATCACTGATGAAAATAAAGATAATATCACTCTGAGACTCTGACAACTCTGAACACTGACATAGTGACATATTGATTGACGCTTGACTTCTCATGATATATTTTTGTCGTTCATGAGTTCTTCGCGTTCAGTGTTGGACAGAGAAGAGTGAAAAGAAACCAAAAAGGATTAATTAAACATTAAAAAAAGAAGAAGAATGTAATGGTGTTGATGATACTGATGGTGTGAATTTTATATTTTCTTTATTGAATTGAATACAATGAAAATACCAGGAATCATTGTAGTCAGTAGCAGCAATACCAAACCTAAATCTCTGATAAAGTTAATAACGAAATCACAGGAAATAAAAGAAGCCAGTGAGAACCCAGGTTTGATAAAACACCCTTGGTACATTGAAACCAAATACTATACAGCAGAAGTGAATTTCCTTGGCTTGGAAAATGATTTCCCAAGATCTGACGACTTCAATAATCAAATTGAAGCATTGATAATCCATATGGACACAAATAAAGATGCAGGTCTAGAGGATTTGAGTAAATGGGACATCTTTGATAAAGATTGTAGTTTAGAAGTTAAGATACTAGTATCTAATTATTGTAACAGCACTACAAAAATTACCAAAAGTAAAGCACTGGAATGGTGTCTAGAGCATGGATTTGAATTCATTGAGCTCTACCCTTTGCCTTCAAACTCTTATGAAGATGAGGATAACATGAGTGAAGATGAATCATTTGAGGAAAAGGGAGGTGTAGAGAGAATAATTGAAGCATTACAGTCACACACTTGGCCAAACTTAGTGATGAAAGAAAAAGACAAAACAAAGAAAAGTTCAGAAAAAAAACTTCAAGGAGAAGATCCATTTCCTGTTGAAGATCTTGATGAATTTGCAAAACTTTTTGCACAGATACATACAATAAAAGATAGCCTTGGTGGCATGGCTACAAGTGAAAGAAAACAGTATGCAGAACAAATGGTTACTGCCTTTTGGAAAGCAATTGGGGGAGATGAAGAAGAGTTATTTGATGTTTAAACTACTTTTCATACAAGCTTTATAAGTTCTTTGTGATGTTTATTCTATTAAGTCAGAGTTGGTCAGAACTCTAAATAAAAGTATATATGAGTAGTTGAGTATTGACATTCATTTGTCCATTTATTAATTATTGTATAAAAAATTTGGAAGGTGGATGGTAGACAAGAACTATAGTTTCATTCAGAATAATGCTTCTCATTTTAAATGAATTCAAATGCAAGCAGTCAGCACTATATATTAAAGATGTGTATAGAATGCCGACCAGTTTTTATTAAACTACTTCATCTTCACCTGAATGTGATTTTTTCAGGTAATGATTGTGATCTGTAATGCATCTACCAAGTATTCCAAAAACAATTTATTTGTATTTATGATTTGACTTGAAATTTGAAGATCTGGAATAAAATATCATCTTATTATGCTCAATCAACTGCTAAAATAAAAAATACCTATTTAATGTCAAATTTGACTCCTTTGGGGAAAAGGTGGGTAGATAATTAAATTCCTCAGACTTTCATATTATTTTCTTTGGATTCTCTCAGTTGGTCCAAAAAGGCATCCAAATAGCCTGTCTGTGTCCATGCCCACAGTATAATAAAATAATAATTAATATGAAAATATTGAAAATTAGCACTTTAAAGGGACAAAACCTAAACATTTAAATTAATACCTGTTGAATCAGCTGACAATGACAAGTATGCATGGACTATTATGACAGCATTCTGTGACAATATTGACGTGATTGACACTATCTTCCTGTTACAGAGCAACTTTTTTGTTTATTGTCAAGCAAGTTTTATGAAATTAGTATATCTATCTCACCCCAACATGTGACGTTAATAAGAACTAGATATACACGTAAAATGAGGTTTTAATAACGGTTGTCGTGTTGTGGAAATTTTGTAGAGGGAGTGGGGTTAAAGTGTTTGTTTAAGTCGGATGTCCCAGTTTTCGATTTCGGTTAGCGGGAAATTAGGGCTATTTGTAGTCATGGTGGTCATTTACCGCCCAATATTCCAGATGACACTTCTGAATTATTGTGCTACCATTTTGGAGTAGTCATTAAAACAGTGTTTCCTTCTTTCATCACATAATAGAGAGATGTGTTGAAAGCTTAACCACCAACGTTTCATTAGGGTTGTGTTGTAACGGTTTTCGCACCCCTGTGAGAAACAATGGAAGACGTAGACGCTGTTGAGGAGGATTTTCATCCTCGACGTTCGCGACGCTTGGCTCTCAGCGAGGTTAACGAAACTTCGGTGGTCACCAGTACTGGTACCCCAAACAAATCTGCTAGTCCCGAGGAGATGCTGATACTTCAGAGAGGGCCCAGGAGAAAACCGTTGACATGGTCACCTGTTGAATATAGCAGGACAAAGATTCTGGGGCCACCCAGAGAGAGAACTCCAGAACCAGTGAATCACAAGAAGTGGGAGATCAATCCTAGACTAAGAAGGAGGTTAGTCATGAGCCCAGGGAAGAATTCTTCCTATGATTTGGGTGAGGCTATTGAGAAGAAGCTCAGGTTGCTGAGGAATTTGGACTGATCAGATTGTTGTGGTTTATTGGAAGTTTTTACACTTAGATTTATACAAGTTGTCTTAGGAATTTCTAGAAATGTACCTAATGCTTTTTGTTAAGTTGTATTTGTTTATTTAGTGTTTTTCCTTTGGTCCTGTATTTACAAATGTTTTTTGGATTTTTCAAAAAATAATTTGATAGACTGAACTGTGCTAGAACTTTTCATACTATTTGTTTTTAGAAACTATTGAACCCTCATTTGTATGAACCTTCATTCAATCTCCTTTATTTAAGGAGTAAAAAAATAGTTGTATATATTCTTCTCTTAGTATCAGGAAAATCATATCATCAGCATTGAATGGAATACTAGGTACAAAAAATGGTTTTGATGGCTCTTATTAGGAAATGAAGTGTTTTTCATTCAAATATTTTTTATTTTGAAAAAAAAAAAATGTTCCCAGCAGAAAATCTATAACCATGCATTATTTAATTTTATATTACTGAATTAAGATACAGACTATACTTAAAAAAAAAAGTACATTTATTAGAGATGAAAAATATGTACCTACATGTTTTCCAGCAATCCATTTTCTTGAGATAATATAAGAACCCAACTTTACATTGTAATTTTTAGTGTTATATTTATTTGAAAATCATTGAAGTTGTCTTTTTATATATTAAGTAATAATGTGCCTTTAAATCTGTAATATTTTTGAGAAATAAATACACATACTGAAATAATCATTCATTTATTCAAATATCCATACAAATTGAGTGAAAATTGCACTGAAGAACTGAAACAATTTTGTTTTGAACAGGTATTTAATTTCATGGGACTAGATGTTTACTCTATAGATAGGTGGGTACATAATTTTAAAACAAGCATTTCAAATTCATTTCATGAAACACTTCAGGGAATTTTAAATTTCCATTTAAGAAAATGAAAAATAATAGGGAAGAACACTAAATCTAATTTAAGTATGCATATAACCAGCATACAAAGTATAGAAGTGACATAACAGGAATGCATTGTTTTTTTGATAACATGCTGTAAAAAACACAATTTCATGGAACATTTCAACTTCTGTGGCACAGTCCTCTATATGCTTAGTAAATGCCATTCTTGTTTTGTTAGCTGTTTTATGAGCTGTTTTATTTTGGGGGAATATAAAGTGAATCTATCAAATTTTAAATGGACCAATAACTGTAAACTGTTGGCCGTTTTGATATATTCATTGATATATGTATAGTAAATATCACCAACACAGGTTTTATCCCCCATTGCCAATAGGCCTTTTCATCTAGATATATTTTTGAGACGCATCCACTCGTTTTTAGATCCAAAAATTTATTGGGTAATGCGAAGGTGAAGTCTCATTGGCTATAGTTGCAACACAAATTGTTGATTGGCCATTTCGAATATGGCGTGTATTATTGACGTTCTGTCAAATGTCAACAGTGTCAACCACCATGGGCATTCGTCATTGAGAAACGACAATAACAACATAGTATTTTTGTTTTTATATTCCTGGTGTGTATTAATTGTAGTATAATAACAAAATAATTTCATTCCAAAAAACTTGCTTGCTCGTTACTGAGGAGTGTGGTACTATGGTGTAAGTGTTTCGGTGAAAATGGCGCCACTGTCGTTGGATGCGAGATGTGAACAGAGATAGTCATTTGTCATCTAAATGAAAAGGCCTATTCTAAAACCATTTTTATCAGTAGCTATGAAATTGGATCTAACCCTCAATTATAGGTTCATACCTTTCAACATCTGATATACCTTATAAAATATAATACATTATCTATCAGAATTAGCAATAATCATTAATAATTTTTGAGACCTTTGACATAAATTTATGTAAGGGAGGTTTCCTAGATGACATTTTCATGTTTTTTGGAACATAATAAATGAAATTATTCATTCATTCAATTTCAATGAACCCCAAATTCTGATTGCATCACTCCAATATCTATTATCATAATGTGCCACAATACAGTTTACAAGAAAAATGGGTTTCAAAGGGTCTTGCTTAGTTCATCCATGGCAATGTTGAAATCAGTTAAATTTTGAGAGCAGAGCTGATTATTGTTAAATACTTCAACCAGCTAAAACGGCAACACTGTTCATCACACATATCACACATTCTCATTCCCAACTATTATCATATGTGAGACGTCAGTATCCCTGGTAGTTCTTCTTTGGAAATTTATTATGGGAAAATTAGTGGGAATGGAAAATGTAAGTACCTCGTCATCGTCATCAACATCATGTTATTACTTCTACAAATTAATGTTCTCACCTATCATAACTAACTACTATCGAAATATTTAATCCTTCCATAAAACTATCAATACTTCTTGTTGGCAGGGTTACACTGCACATAGATATAAATATAGAATATTGTTTATCATTTTTCTAATTGGCAAAATGCCTCGACGAATTTCTAAAGTTAAAAGTTTCATCATAGTTAATATTAATTGTCAGTTTTGTTGAAAAGACCACTAAACTTTCCAGATTCAAATGGGGAGAAACACATTTGTTTCACCCTGTAGATTTCTATCCAGCCAAGAGTTTAGTTTCAAGGAACAACTTTATAAAATAGTGAATATTTTCACAAGTCAAATGTTTATAGATTTGAAACTATATGACTATTTGTAAAAAACGTCTTATTGCACCAGTATTTCACCTGAAGAAGGTCCTGCGTTAGCGAAACATGTCATATGTGATTAAGAATTTTGTGGAAATCTTATCGTTTGTGAAGTTTTTTCATTTACTAAGGTTTTCTATCGAGTCAATTCAAAATATATGAATATTGACTAATAGTCTAAGAGTTGGATTCACAAAAACGAGTTTCGACGTGACTGGAGACAAGTACAATTTTCTTCTGGAATGGTTCAATCTATGATGTGGAACACCAAGGCGCGAGTCTGCCTGCTCGATTGGGTGACTTGTGTAGGGACGAGCGTGGAAAGTTGCAGCATTTCAAAGGGAATCAACGTCATTATTACAGTCAAGAAAATTCGTGTAAATATAGTATGTGACGTCAGATAGATAGTTTGACAATGGGCGACGAGTGGACTTGAATGAATTATTGGCATTCAAGTACTACACTATGTCATTAGGGACCAAAATTAATTTTTGCAACACTTCTCACACTTTTTTTATGTAAATAATGAGTGTATGTGTTGTTCGAAATTGTTGAATTTCGGAGCTCATTTCAAACGTACCGTCATGGCCACTATTTGGTGATACGTCGAATAAATGGTGACGTCAGCCTTTATTTTGTTTCGTTAGATAATCTTCCATTCCCACTTACGAAGCAAGGTTATTGCCAAGTCACCAATTATAATCAAGTTATCCAAAAGATGTAAGAGTCCTGTAGTTGAATAAAACATAATAGGAGGAACCTATGATATTATAGTTCATTCTTGACTCTTTCGAGCAACCAGCATGTCCAAATATACTCCATACTCCATAACAAAATTCCATGTAAATGTTGGAGACTTGGCAATATCGTGCTGAATGCTGAGAAGAAATAAGACCACGCCCACAAGTAGTGCGTGCGGTGTTGTCACGTTCACCGCTTCAAATGTCCTCTAGTGTGAATTAATATAATTACTATTTGCACAAATATATTATAAGCAATAAGCCACAAATCATGAGAGAACATTTTGAGACAAATGATTTTGTATTGCTAAATAGTAATATTACCAATACATAATTGAGAATTTATAAATGTTTGAATATTTCTGAAGTTCCCAATCGTATTTCAACACATGGCAACTGTTCTATGGTCTGCCTCTATTTACAAAATCGTGACATCAGTTTTTACTCACGGTAAATCTCAATCCGTTTGAAAATTACCGTGGCATTGATGATTTTAGCACCTGAAAATCTACCGAAAAATTCTAAAAAAATATGAAACCGATAGGTATTTGAGTGTTGATTCTAGTTGAGAAATGGACAAAAAAATCAGTCCACTCGCCTCTGTTTTTCGAGAGCTAGTGCCGGCAGACCACGTCGAAATTACGAAAAAAATGAGATTTTTTTTACAGCGACCGTTTTCATCCACTCAAAAGAAGTTCAATTAATCAATTTTTCAACAACGGTATGTTATATATGTTCCACCTTGCATGCCATTCGAGGTAAAAAGACAATTTATTCACACATACCCATGTTCTCATTGTACCAACAATCTTTCAGTGATAGATATATCAACAATATCAAAATATTGAGGATTTTTGTTGAAAAATTGTATATTTAAACGTTCTATATTTCAATAACGAACGAGTTATATCTATTTGTCGAGTTTTGATCATTAAAATTTTACCTCTGTAGGTATATCGTTGTCTGCCATGGTGTTGTCCTCCACTTTTTGGTCTGTCATTCAGGATATAAACAAATTAATATATGATAAATACCTACACCTAATTTCAAGACTATATCTTATCACGTTGATTTTCCAACTTTTTTTTGGCAACTTCGATGCGGTCTGCCGTACACACACCGACAAAGCAGACTCGCGTCTTGGTGTTCCACATCATAAATGGAACCATTCCAGAAGAAAATTGTGCTTGTCTCAAGTAACGTTGAAACTCATGTAGCCAGCTCGATCTCAGTCTATCACCAGTGGTGTTACATAGTTCTCTTATGGTATAACAACTAGGTACTACCCTACATTGAAACTCGTCACGTAAGAGGCGATACATTATAAGAAATAAAATAGAACTCTGTTATTTAAATTACCTTGATAATAGGTCGCGTGCATGATGACCGACCCTAGAGGTAAAATATTGAAACACAACCTCACTCTCCTGTGAAAAATTGAAACACAACCTCACTTTTTATATTTGTTATTCAGAGGAATCAAAGGATTGAATAGTTTTTCACAATATTTTGGCATACGAATCGTGGTTTTTGCGCTATTAATTAATTCAAGCATGCCTTCTCATTGTGCTGTTGTACAATACACGAAAAATGCAGCGAGAGACGAAGGAATATGAGTTTTCAGGTAAATAGCAATCTCACATCGTTTTCATTATGAAATTTTGTGATTTCTTATTAAAATTCCTTCTGCCACTTCTGCAATAGAAGCTAATCCTGCTAATAGATTGAAAATGTCTACAACATAGAAGATCATATTTCGTCAGCATGTCAGACCAGTCCTCCCGTTTGATTGCATGAATCCAATCTTCTTGCATTCTTTTAGAAATTCCACGAGTATTTCTATTAGCTCTTATTGCAGAAGGAATTCCGATGAGAAATCAGAGAAATTACCAAATTTCACAATGAAAACTATATGTGAGTGACTATAATGTACCAACCGGATTCCTTCGTCTCGGCATGCGGGAATTAATGAATAGCCGAAAAACACGATTCCTATGTCAGAATAATTGGGAAAACGATCTCAATCATCTATAAACAAATTAGAAAAGTGAGGTTGGGTTTCAATGTTTCACCTACAGGGTCGGTCATCTGACAGTTCTTGCACGCAACCCATAGAGAAAACAACACTCTCAACAGTCTCTCAACTAATGCGTATAATACACCCTATAATAAAGCGTTTTCGACCTCCACAGAGAGTAGCTGTTATCGAACTTAAGCAGATACACCCCTTTGCCAGGATAAGGGTGCGAACCGGCGTACACCTCTTCCTGACAGTCCCTCCTGTAAACCGGCACAATTTCGTGCAACAACGGCTTCGACACCCCATTTACTGACGTCGAGCCAGCTTCCAGATCACTCGTTCGTATCGTTTCGTCATCATAGATTTCATCGTCATTCAAGTCGTCCAAATCCTCATCGTCGCTTTCAGATATATGGACCGAAACTTCTTCGGTAGTGGGCGTGCCGAATTCGAAGTACACACCAAAACCTATTATGTGTGAATGTTTGAAATAATATGAAATTCATAAATTGGGTGGATATATTATTGATTAAAATCTCATTAAAATGTTTTTCAACCCTCCCTTATTTGTATAGGTATATATGTTTACTATTTATGTAAATGTGGAGGCAGCAGTAAGTGTTTATTATATTATTTTTTTCATCGACCTCTACAAAAAAATCACATTTTATGTACTAATTTCCGAACGAAAATCCGACTATTTCCGAAGGCAAGTACTTTTCTTCCGCAGACACTAAGTTTTCGTTAATTTTCAGTAATCTCCTGATCGACATATTGATCTACTGATCGATCTACTGAACATTTCATAACCCACTGAATAATATTTTGACATTTATTTATTACTAGCAGATCTCGCAAACGTTGTTTTGCTGTATACAAGATTTCTATAATATATTTTTTCAGTTCAATATTCATCAAGACACTATTATTATTTTATTTTCAATTTATTTTCAGTTTCGCTATCTATAAAAGCGTGTTTCTTTAGTTTTTCAAACTACAATTTATTTCAACTTCTTTTCAGCTCACTTGAATTTTCCAATTTTGACGAATCATAATATCCGACTCATAGACATTACAAAACAGGCTACAATGCCTAGCGTGAGTCTACTCCAGTGAGTCATTTAATATCATACAGCTCTCCATTTCACCTACAAAAGTCTTGTATATAGGTAATTTAGATCTTAGGAAATGGTGTTAATGATTAACCACTGTATTCTTTTGTGAAATAAAATTGTGTGTGAAAAAAAAAAAAAAAAAAAAAAAAAAAAAATAATCATAATCTCCGACCCCGAGAACCACCAGATACCAAATTTTTGAATAAAATCGGATCCTAATCACAAAATCCGCCATCTTGAATTTCTCAATTTTGACGAAGGAATCATAATCCCTAGGTACCAATTATGAAAAGAATCGGATTATAATTACAGAACTCGTCCGCCATATTGGTTCCGCAATCTTGGATTTCCAAATTCGGCCTGAATTTTCAAATTCTGACGAAAGAATCATAATCTCCGACCCCGAAAACCCTCAGATACCAATTTTGAATAGAATAGGACCATAATTACAAAACTCATTCGATATATTAGATCCGCCATCTTGAATTTCCTAATGGTACCGGGATAAAAGTATCCTATTACCATCTCCTGGTTCTAAGCTACCTCCCCACCAATTTTCAGCCATATCGATCCAGTAGTCTTCCCTATGATTTCATTTCAAAATATCTTCTCCTTAACCACCCTGTATATCTTAAACCAACGATATTTTTATGAGGCATGTTGAACTGAATCTTCATATTTGTGTGTTTACTATCTGTAGTTCCGAGATTTCTCATTCCTAATTTAATAAATAAAATTATTAAAATGTCATAAGTGGAAACCATTGAAGCTAGACAGTTTGATAGAGAGTACATTTTTCATGTGAAATTGAATGAGCTTTCAGATTTTCCACATATTTTGGTCATCAATGAGTTGACATAGAAGATATGATGTGAATGATCTAAGTCAGAGAGCCACTAGCAAATGCATATTCCTCATGTCAGAAAACCTAGAAATACAAGATTTCATGTTCATGCTGTTAAAACTAACAAAGTTATTGTCAACTTTTGAAATAAAATCTCCCCCTAGAACACCCTGTATCTCCTAAACCAACAACATTCTCATCTGGCATGTATATATATTTGATTTATTCACACACCAAGAGAATGAGACATTCTATTAGGTACATCCTATAACTAAGTAAATTACAATAATTACAAAAAAGTTGGACATGAAGATAAGAAATATACATATAAAAACCAAAAATAAAAACAATATAAATATTTATAGATATTATATCACATGATTGGATCAACTGGTTATTAAAACAAACTAAACTTAAAAGTGTACAAATAATTTGCTCCATTTCTCTAGCTAGTACACTTTTTTTTAATAGTACTTCAACTGTATTTTGACCCTTTTGTTGAGTAACTTCAGATCTTCTGGTAGTTTATTATAGAAATCCACTCCCCTGAGGAGCAATGATTGACCATAATTGATCATGAAACTGACTATCCTTTTTGTGAATCTAGTATTTGTGTGTTCAAAATTGTTGACACTATTGGGAATAAATAAACAACATTGATATTCATAAATACCACAGAGGGACATCAATTGTTTTTTTTATATATTATATATTTCTTTATCTTTTATTATATATATATATATCTTTAATGGTTTCACGACTCAGATATTGCAAATGGGAGTGGATTATATATATATTGAAATAAAAAATTCGAATTTGCATTTTCCCTCCAAAATTCATATTATTTTCATTCCTTTGAATTTTGTTAATGTAGCTGCACCACAAATCAGCTGCATTGTAAAATTATTGCATTTTACACCATAAAAACACCACAAAGCAGACAAGAAAACATAAGGACACTTACCTATATCATAATGATCAGTAGCAAATTCCCAAAACAACCTTGACCCATGAGGATGTGTGGGCACCCTTACAGTAACAGTCTCTCCATGTCCCACCCTGACCACCCCATCTCCATCCCCTTGGGAGACACTCTGTTTGAAAGGTTCAATTTCAGATCTGGTCCACATACTAGCAGAGATCAAGCCATGCTCTTCAGAAGCATCTTCTTGTTTTGTATTATCATTTGAGGAATTATTGTCATGAACCTTAAAACGATTTTGATTTCAATTTTCATATTGACTGATGAGTCATAGTTGGAATTATGTTGATAATCAATCTTTGAAAGAAGTCCATGGTAACTCAAAGTGGAGTAGTGAGTTCATAGATGAAAGCCCAGTCATCTCCACAACATTTATCAAAATGATCAAAGATCAATAGAAAATATCATAATTATGGAAATGGAAAAAGTAAAGGGCTTTCACGCTGGGTTGATAGTTGCGCAATACTTGGTAACAATGTCGTGCCAAAACTGCACATCGAAAAATGCTAGTAACTTTCGAAATGGGCGAACCGCATTATCGATTTAAGTTGGCAAAACTGTCCACTGATGCCAGATTCATTTGACATTTCTAGAAGCGATTTGTTGTGATCAGCTGATCTCTGTGAATTATTCATTAAAGAGAGAAAGAGTCTCTGAGGCAAGTTACTCCAGAAAATGATGGAAATATGGGCCAATAGTGTTCGCCATACTGAACAAATAATTCCAAGTTGTTGGGATAGAGAAATTTTTTTTTAGATTTACAAGATATTCCACGAGTGATTATAAATGTAGGAGAGGATGATTCTGATGAGCTATATTTTTCCCGTGTATAATACACTATTTTTTTCTGTGACAGAAGAAAGGACGAATCAATATTGAGAAGATGTTACATTATTTTGAAGTCTGAAAATTATCGACGTGAAATTTCAAGTTTTTTTAACAGTAGGGACACCTGCGTTGTAGGCATCTTTATCATTCTTTTGAAGTAATCAAATATCTGATGTCACTTCTGTCAGTCTAATTCTGTGATTTGATTTCAAAAAATTGCGAATTTAATGGTTGTTTAGTGATATACGTAACCGCGAAGTCCAATGGAAGAATAAAAGGACTTGCTCTTTTTTCTCGAAGACGGTATTATTGACTCATTTTTTGGAACGATAGCACAACGAAAGCCATCAACAGTGTATACATATGTGATATATATCCGGGAATAAAGTACTCACTTTTTTCCCACGGGAAAAAAGTAATTTATGAAAAGTGACATTTCATAACCTGCCAACAAAGATGAAATGCCAAACTTTTTTCCCGTCACAGAAAAAGTTGTATTATTTAGTGTAAGATTATATCTGTAGATTTGGGTTAGAAACAGGGTTGGGCTGATTTAAATCAATTGATTTAAATCAAGATAAAAATCATGATTTAAATCGAGTGATTTTTTTTTTAAAATCCCAATTCAAATCAAAATAATAATTTCGAGAACATTTATTATTTATTTGAATAATAAAAACTATTAAACTGAAATAAAATAGTAACACCCCTAAAAAACTGGATATTGAAACATATACATATGTATATCTTGATCATACTCTACATTATTTTATAATCATAAGTTTTCTGACATTGGAACTAACATAGAACATTTTAATTTTCATTATAATATTTAAAAAAAAATACTAATTTTCCCGCCTTTTCAATCTCCAGTCTATTTCTCAAATCTGAATGTACCAGCCCAAAGGTACTGAACACTCGTTCCACTGAGGCTGAAGAAGCAATAGCACAAAGAAATTGTTTTAACACAGGTATCTGTTTCTTGATTTCTGATTCATTGTCAGCTTGTGATAGCCACCACTGAATTCCACTGACGTTTTTCGTAATTTCTTCAGAGAACATGATGTTTTTGAAGGGCAAAGAACGAGCATTAAATTTTATTAGTAATGGTAATAATCTACTATTACCATACATTTCTTTTATAGTTTTTGAAGCCGAATTTTTTTCATTGAGTTTTTCCATTGTTCCACGGCATTTGAAAGAGTATGTTGACATGAATGTTGACAGGTACCTATATTTATCGCGCATTAAGACCAAAATCAAAAAAAATCATGATTTTTTTATTTAAATCAATGATTTTTGATTTTTTATAAAAAAATCAAGATTTGCCCAACCCTGGTTAGAAAATTGTATTATATAGTGTTAGTTTATTGTAATGTTATAGTGGTTTCATGAGTTTTTGTGGGTTCACCTCATGAATTATATCGAGAGTATTGAAGTAAGAACAACTCTTGTTGTCAATTTCATAATGATGCACCACTATTTATTTTCCCAGGAAATAAAATCAATGGATCGCATTTCTATTTCATTTCACCAATTTATAGTAATTGAAAAACATTCAAAACGATTATATAAACTCAAAATTGAATTCGAAGTTTTTATTACTTTCACTCAGTAAATGTGAATACTGATCAGTTTTATTTAAAAAAATGAATTCAAGACATAATGGTGTATTGGTAGAAAAATAAGTTATTTTTAATGTCAATATCTGTGATTGTTTGTTGATGTTGTTATATAATAAATCAATCTTCAAGTTATTATTCATTATAAGAATTTCATTATCATTAAATTTCATATTCAGTATATTGTTTAGATGCATGGTTCATTAAATACAAGTATTGAAGTTCATTTATCAACTTCAAGAGCTGATTTTGAAACATAAATAGACGGCTTTTGAGTTGGTTCCAAAAACGTCCGACGATCGTAACACTAGACATATCCATATTCGGGCGGTTGGTCATTCAGTCATTTCCTTTCAACTGACAACACTGTATGTGTTGACATATGACGTCACTATCAACTCTGCGAGAAAGCCCTTTTTCTATTGGCTGATGATGGGCTTATATAAGCCCAAAACATGTTCCTTCAAGATTGATGATTGATCTTTGATCATTCTAATAAATGTTGTGGGGATGACTTTGGGTTTTCATCTATGGATGTTAATAATTATTACTGCATTTTTATTTTTTGACAACCAGGGTAGGGTCAAGTTTTATTTATTTGAATCTTCAATCAGTTTTCTCAAGTATTTTCCGAAAAATATACTTTTTAAGAAGAAAGTTCATTTAGGTCAACTAAGGTTAGAATGTTTGGGAAGAGTAGTCTCCTTTTTTATGGTTATGCAGAAAGGATATTTTCCTTCCTCATATTCCATATTTCTATGTACATACATCAAAGGAGGGGGAAGAATCTCTATCTCTATCATGGATATTTCATCCAGAATTTTATTCCATATCAAAAGTTAGAGAAAGTTGAGAAGTGACTTCATGTATGTACATGTTTGCAAAAAACAAATTACAGGCACATCAAGGTGTCTCTACCTGTAGCAAAACTACAATTCAATAACAATAATACAATGTAAATAAAAGTGAAACATTGGTACTGATGATAATTTTACTTACTGTTTCATTTATATCCCTATCAGACTGATTACTGTTATCATCATCTATTGGGCTTCTCTGAGATGCTTGTAGTTGCTTCATATACTGAATATAGTGTTGCTCTTGAAGTTGTTTTATTAAATTCCCTTGCTTTTCAGGATCACCTGAGAATACATACCAATTATTGTGTGGTTTACATAACATTCTGTTGAGTATTTACCTGGATATTGCTGTTCTGCATAGCTTTTAAATTGGTCATAAGTTTGTTCATTTAGTGCTTGCTGAATCTGTCTCCTGATAGCTTCTTGCTTCAACATTTGTTCATTCACAAACTTCTCTTCCTCCACCCTCTTCAGTCTTACTTCTTCTTCCAGAAGCTTCTTAGAATCTGCTTCCTTACTGAAAAACATACCATTACCTCTCACAAAATAAACATATGAATCAAACAAACATTCTCCGTTCCTGCTCTTGTTTTTCTCTCCTGTGTGCTTCTACATAAGCTGAAAATAAAGGACACTTTCTACTGAGTAATTCAACGAAACCTGCTCTTGCTTGGTCGGAGGACAGTTGTCCTAATTTTTGCCAAGCAATTCTTCTATCTCTACCAACAACATCTAAGGCTCCTAAGGGTGGTAGCTTTGGCAAAGCTTCTATGTAAGGTCCATGAAGGACTTGCTGAGAAAACGCTATGAGCTGTAGTTTATCTTCAAAGCCAAAGTGGAAAGCTTTGCCTTCTTTATCTGAAAATCTCAAGGGTTCTGACTTGTAATAGCTATGATATGGTGATGCCTTATACCTTTATAAAAGTTGATAGCGAGTTTGTAGACATCTCGCAATGGAAGATTATTTTCTACTATATCACTTATTATGCTACTTTCGTTGGAAGTTGCTCTAAGGTGTTGTTCTACTGTAGTTTCGCTTAGTTCTCCAGAAATTACAGAAACGTCAGTGTCGGTGGCCATTGTGAAGAAGGAAGAACAGAGTGGATACTGGATGACGTTTCGGAAACGTCGAATTCAAACCAAAAAAAAAAGAAGATTTTAACTTATGGAATGATGGCTGTTGCTGTTATGTCCGATGTGACCAGCAGCTAAAGCTGCCAAATTTAGAAAATATTGACAAACAAAAAAAAGAAGAAAAATTGGTTATGTATGTGTAGGTTAGGTAGGTTAACTGTCACTCTTCGAAGTTCAAATCAAAAAGAGTGAGATTGTGTATTTGTTAAGTCTGAAATGTACAAATTACTAAAAAAAATCGCTTCCCAAAGACAAATTCTGGGTCGATACAGTAATATAAACTTCAACGTTAATGTAAGAACATTTTTATCTCAGGCATATTATTGTCAAGAAGTTTGGGATCGAAGATTGAACTCTCCCATTCTCCAAAAAGTTAACTTGGATGATCTCTACTATGAATTAGAATCTAGATTTTTGAAAACACGCCAAGTGAGTGCTGTGGAGGTTGATATATTCGCAAATGCTGTTACTGATGACACATTTGTGGATGAGCTACTTGACATTCTTTATAAGTTGAGGTTAACTGCAGATACTGGAAATACACTGAACTCCACATCACATGCAGTTGTACGGGCTCTGCTGCGATGTGGAAAAAAAGATGATTTATTGAACACTTTAGATGACAGGTTGAACTATGGCTTGTTTTTGGATTACTACACTGCAAATCTATTGATGGATTCATTTTACAAAAGCTCAGACTATGCTTCAGGTGCTAGAGTAGCAAGCCAGTTAATGTTACAGGAAGAATATGAACACCCTATAACTCACAGCTTTGCATTGCTTCATTGTTACAATTATTTACTAAAACCTGAAGGCTGGCCTATTCCTACACCACCTGAAGAACCAGAAGAAGAAGTAAAAGTTCGTGTCAAATTCTTGAGAAACCCATTTGATGATGATCATTTTGACTTGAGGGATCCCAAAAAAATTGTTGGAAAAACATTGGCCATGTTTAATAAAGCAAAAAATGACCCCTTGAGTAATTCATTTAGCATTTTGGGTTGGGCTCTATTTGGTAAGCTAGATAAAGTTGAAGAATTTGTTACATCATGTAAGAAAGACAATATTGTTTTATATAAGGAAATCATTGATTTAATACCAGATGATGAGAGTATAAAGAATATAGTATCAGAAATAAAAACCCAATCTATGGATATATCAAAACACTTGATATCTGAATTGGAAAAAGTTGTACAAACTCAGTCTGAGAGAGATATTGCAGAACAATGTGAAGTATTTTCTAAATGGGAGAGCCAGAGAGTACAAGCCTTGGAAGACCAAAAAGAAAAATTATCTAGAGCAAAACGTCTAGAAACCTTGGAAAATCTCAAAAAATCCATGCAGGAAAAAGAAACAAAACTTTGGTTCTTTGAAAATGAGGAAAAAATTGAACTAGAAATTGAAGCAGGGCTGGAAAAAATGGTTGCACCCAAAACCAAGAAGAAAGTAGTGAAAGAAGAACAGAATTATGTACCACCTGAAGTTTGGTCAAAACAGAGGAATCCAAATAACTGGGCTTGAGTTCAAATAGTTTATTTGATATGGCAAAATATTTAATATAACTTTATAATCTTTTTTAAAGCTGTTATCATAATATATGTATGTCATTAACATAGTGCCTACTGAAGAAAAAAACATTATCACACATTGTTTGACTGTTTCAAAAGATTTTGAGTTTCTTTTTGTATCAGGGCCAAATCTGAGTAAACCCTATCAAGTTTCAACCCAACTTCTTTTGCTTTTTCAGTTTCAATTTGCTCCTGAATATTTCTTGACTCCCTTTCAACTACTCCCATATCTGTGACAGCCTTCAGGATATTGTTGCATTCATCTCTTAGAGCTGCTAGAAGTTTGTATGCCCTTCTAGCCATTTCATCATGCTTGGCATCCTGAAAAGCCAAACTCAAATTATTTTTTGGTACTGCACAATTTTGGTAGTTCCTACAAAAAATATTAGTTCATCAGATAATGTGAAAGATCTATCCACTTGTCCACTCAAATTGTTTATTTCTTTTTGAATCTCTCTGGTATCCCTCAAAACTTTCTGAATTTCATGATTTTGTTTCCTGATATTCCCAATTATTTCCAAAATCCTTCTTGTATAAGCTGATCTGCAATTTAAAATGATTTTTAAGGCACCTATTCTATGAGTATGATCTATATTTTACCTGTTATTAGTCTTATTCATTTTTTGACACTTTTCTAGCAAAGTCTGTTCCAAAACAGTTTTTTGTTTCAGATCTTCATGGAGCTTGGCATGCATATCTTTCACAGTATCAAGTTTTCTTTTTTCATCTTGTATTTTGGTTTCCACAATACTGAGAGTACTTTGTAGCATGTCATATTCTTCTAGAAGAGGTGTTTGGACATTATTCCACTGATTGGCAAGTTCAACAAGTCTATCTTTGGCAGTTTGTATCATATTCTGGAGTTTCACTTTGTTTTCCTTTTTGTTTATGATAGCTTGGGTTTTTCTCTTCAGTTTTACTTTTGCAAGGATGTTATTGAGCATAGTTTGTACCTCATTTTTTGTAAATGAAGTCTGAGACAACTGCAATTCGTCATTTTTAATATCTTCTTGTAATGCTAAATATTCAGCCTTGTTTTCTTCTAGTGCTACTGATAATTTCTCAATTTTATTTTCCATAGTCTTATTCTCAACAACTCCATCAGTTTCTTTATTATTCACTTCTTGGTTACTATTGTCCATAATTTTGGGAGACAAACTTATCATCATTTCAGTGTCAATGTTATCAATTACCTGTGTTTGAGATTGTTTATTCAATAATTTCAACAAACTTGAGTTTTGAGGAAATTCCAAATCATTGAACAGCAATGATGGAACTAAATTTCTTGAAGAGCATTGTTCAGTTACATCAGGTACTGTGTGAACCCAGTACTGCTTCAAAACTAAATAAAACAGTGAATTAATGATATACATTTTATGCAAACATATAACAAACCTTCATTTTGGCATTTAGAGTCAGGTATCACCAAATTTATAGATTGAAGAGGGCAACTGCTACTCATGCTATTCACTATATACCCACCATCAATTTCCCTAATCCCTCTTCTGATATAGCAAGATGGTATCCACATTTGCCTCATTGAATTCTTGATATTTTCTTCTATAGTTCTAACTAACCTTGGTACATATCCAGTTTGCTCAATAGGAATACTTTTATGTGTCTCTCTGGGTATTCTCTCAATAAGAAACATCAACACTTTTCTCACTTCTACTTCATTGCAGTATAGGATTGTTTGATATCCCATATCACCTCTAAAACCCAGGTCTTTGATGTATTCTGCTAGATTTGAAGCTAATTTCAGTCTGGCACTCATTGAAGAGGGTAGTTTTTTTGGGAAAACAGTGTTTGGTGAAATAGCTTCCAAGCAAGTAGACACAGATAATACAACAAGGTCAGCATCAAACTGCTTCAGATTCTGTGTCTCATCCCCTAAATTGCTATAAATTTCATTCAGCTGAACTTTTCAATAAATATTATTAAAACACACCTACCAGTCTAGATTTCGGAGAGAATCTATGATAATTCTATCGACTTCCTCCATATTTTATTTTCACGAAATATTCATTACTGGGTTGGGATCTACAAAGCAGATTTCAAGTGTTCCTGCCAATTCCAACAACAGGAACAGTTTACAACTTCCAGCTTTCGAGCTTGCACTAGCACCTTCTAATAAGTTCAACGATTACGGATCAACATCAACAACAAAAATCCTAATCCATTAACCTAACCTAACTTGACATCACAAACTACCTTCTTCTCTTTTTTGTGCTCTAAACACAAAACCACACATATCTTAGCAGACATAAACAAATGAACTACAAACTACACTCACTGACCTAACCTAAACTGACCTAAATTTGCAACTACGGGAGTTCGGCAACATTACGGCAACGGCAAGTACTGACTGAAAGCTGAAGATTAAAAAGGAAGAGTACTCAACTAGCTGGATGTCCAACTCTGGATAAGGGACTAATAACAGGAAGAAGAAGGAAAAAGAAATAGAATGGCCCAATATAACTAGAAGGGGTCTATGGTCTATGCTAAATGATTGAACAAGCAAGGAAGAAGCGCGGAATCCCGGAAATTACATAACCCTAAAACTGCTAAAAGGCCTAAACCTGCCCATAACCTGCCTAAACACATTTAGAACACATGAGAACGATAGTATCTAAATGGATGGAAAATGGAAAGTATAACAGAGTCTGAGCTATCAGATGAAAGTTCCTTTTCTGAAGGTATATACAACCAATCTTCAAGTTCAAACAAACAAAAATTTAAATGTCACATAGATGGTTGCAGAAAAACATTCAGAAGGGGTTGGTTGTTGGAAAATCATGTCAGAAGACACAATGGAGAGGTTTTGATTATCCTTTGATAACTAATGCACCATATAATTTTTTTTCACATTTTAGAGACCATTTATTTGTGATAATGAAAAGTGTATGAAATCATTTACTAATTATGCTCATCTGAAACGTCACAAATCCATGGTTCATGATAGATCTGATGAGCTAACTTGTGACAATCCTGGATGTGGATTAGTGCTAAGCAACAAATATAGCTTGAAAAAGCATAAAAATCGTATGCATCAAGAAACAAACTTTGAATTTTCATGTGTTCATTGTTCACAGAAATTCAAGAAAAAAAGGCTTCTTCATGAACATTTGATAGAACATGCAGGACCAGCCCCATTTAGGTATTTCTGTTCAAATATAAGAGTTCTTGACTGAAAATCTAATACCTGTTATGTTTCAGATGTGAAAGATGCAATGTTGAGTTTTATAGTCAAATTAAATTTACTAAACATGAAAAAAATCATAAAACTTTTATATGTGATTGTGGGGATACATTTACAAAATGGACTTTATTTCTCCAGCATAGAAAACAAACTTGCAAGATTGATATCAGTAAGCTACTTTTGATGTATTTAGTTCTTTGAGATCTATCAATTATGAATTTTTCAGGTCATAAATGTGTTATTTGTCAGAAGGTATTCAGTACACAAAGGAATTTGACTGTACACTCAATGGTTCACCTGGAGGAAAGTCAAAAGACAGCTTTTATTTGTCACTTTCCAAATTGTTCTAAGAGCTATCAATATAAAAAAAATCTCAATGCACATATTACAACATTTCACAAAGAACAAAAAGGATTTGTTTGTCAAGAGCCAAATTGTGGTGCAGTTTACAAATATAAGGTGATTTTTCCTGTTGTTTCACAAATTTTATCCAATAACTAATTATTCCATGTTTCAGAAAACCTTGAAGCAGCACATAGAAAATGTACATGGTAATGGAGAGAAAAAGGTGAAAAAGATTAAAAAGGCTAGGGCACCTAGAAAAGATCAGGGCAAGTTCAAAAAGAGCATGGCTGCAATTTTATCTGGAGTTGATTTAACTAATGAACAACATAAAATGTTAGTGGAAGCCAAAAAACTAGAAAGTACTGTTGAAATCATAGAGGGCAAAAAAACTAGTGAAACTGCCTCTAGGGAAATATTGGAAAAAAAGGAAGAACTGGGGAATCACTCTGAATGTTCTAGCAAGAATATCATCATAGATATTGTCATTGAGCCAAATAAATTATCTCAAAACATCCCAAGAGATAACATCATGAGCTCAAGTGGAGACAATTTGGCCATGATTACCAAAACACTATTTTCTGTAGAGGATCATCTTGGAGTAGAAGGAGATATTGTATCAGAACTTTGTGATCAGGCATTGAATAATATACAAGAATGTCTATCTTGAAGTGAATTTTATTTCAATAAATCCCAGAGTCCATGGGGGTCTGTGACAGGAAAATCATACAATTAGTAAATTACATATGGCTTTGATGGCTCCCAATTGTTAAATATGTTTTGCATGGTGGAAATATTCCACCATGACGTTTTGCACTGAAACTTTGTTCATAAAATTCATTTGATTGTTTGTGTGTGTGACTGTGGGGTAGGCCATAGATAAACTACACTTGAAGTTTGTTTATGGGGTAGGCTTAATTTTGAAGTGATAAATGTATTCCCGCATTTTTTTATACTCAATAATTATTCTTGGCCACAGCTGTACAGGCTATCCAGCAATGGTAGTATCTACCATTTCGGCATAACAGCCCCGGTAGCAAAGACCAGGAAAGCTTAGGAGCGTCTGGGCTAGAAGTTGGCTAGAAGGCTGCATCTATTAGTAAGTTTACGTACGAATTATTCACACGTTTACGTTCGAATAGGTTTCGACGGGTGACTGATCACTGAGTTGGTGTATTGTAAAAACGTTTCATTTTTGCAACACATTCCGGCAATGTACCTATTGTAAAAACGTTTCATTTTTGCAACACATTGTGGCAATGTATTGTAAAAATGCCAATTTTTGCTATACATTGCCGCAATGTGTAGCAAAAATAACAGTTTTTACGACAATTTGCTCTTCAAGTATTGTGAAAGTGTCAATTCCTATTGCAAAAACACAATTTTTTTTTTGCCATACATTCGATCCAATGTATATTGAAAAGTAAAAAGAATCGTCATTTTTTGTTATGACATATATCTACCTAATATTTTCGAGATTTTTGTGATGCTCAATGAACTTATAGAACTTTCGAGGAAAAACAGATTATATTTCATAAAACATGAAAACTATAAATCTCAAATTATTTATTATATTTCGGCACCTCGTCCTCGAGATCACTTGTTTTAGCTAGGTAGTACCACTCTTAGGTACGGTTGATGCCACAATGTATTAAGTAAGAAGAAGAGTTTTTATCATACAGCACCCTTCCTTACTGA